TGGAGTCCCCCAGGAGGAACCCTCAACAGAAGGGCCATGAGAGCTGAGGGAGCTCTGAGGCATTCTGTGTGCTGCATGAAAGTCCTAGGAAGTGGGGCTCCCATTGCTCACAGCAGCAGTCTCAGGAATATCCCTTTGTCTCACCTTCCCTCCTCCCCTCCACCCTTGCTCCCAAGAAATCTACCTTTTTACCCAAATCCCTGCCTCAGGCTCTGTTTTCAGGCACACAAACTAAGTCAGTCGATAGGTATGAGAAGGAGACCTAGAGAGCAAACCCTCAGTGAGATTCTGAAACTGGATCTCCCCGCTAGTCAGACAGTATTCTATTACTAAGACTGTCAGTGGTGGACCGGGATGTGGTTCAGAGGGGCGGGCTGCACTGAGGCGTGCATTAACGCTAGCACCTCTAGGTCTAGAGGCAAGGGTAATCAGAAGTATTGCGGCGTTGGCTGTCTTTTGTTAACTGCTTTGGAAATCTTGAAAAAAATGGCAGTCTCAGTTAATCAGCTATCAACACAGAGTACACTGTGAAAATCAGAAGGTCTCCTAGCAGCTTTTAAAGATAGCTGTGTCTCCTGGAACCATAGTTAAACTATGCTGAAAATTAGACCCAGAGTTTACTCATAAGGTTAAGGTTGAGCCTATAACCTTGAAAAATCTTCTAAGCTAAAGTTAGGACACCAACAGGGAATGATTGAGACCCTGAGACATGGAATGTCTGAGACCCCAGACATCTGGATGGATGCACTTGAGAACAATGAATACCTGGCTTCTCCTAAACTCTCCAGCCTGGCAGAAGCAGGCCTCTTCTTACTAGGGGACACCAGACACTTGTACTCTGGTAACAATGCATAGACTTGACCCGTGATAGACACTTCCCAAGATAAAGCTTTTCCTCATCAAGATCACCCAATCCTCTCATCGTTCCAGGCCAGTAACAAGGGCTAAGCTTAAGCATAGCTTAAACAAGAACATGAGTCCTTTCCCCAGGAGAAAAGGGCTTTCCTACTGAATGAATCGCATGATGTGGCTACTATGTCCTGACAGGAACAGAGAAAATCATGCGTGGAGGTGGGTCTTGGAGGGTGGTGAGCCTGAGGGGTGGAGCAGAAGGTAAGATTGGGTAGAGAGAATTTATTAGCACAAGAACACATTCTCATGATGCAGGACTTACTGTCCTCAGAGAATGCCTCGGGCAGATGCTAATATGCTATGAGAGTGGACCCATGAAGCATGGACATGATGACAGCCTACAGCAAATGTGATGGAAATGTTAGAATTAGCCTGTTAGAATGGCCAAGTATTGATGAAGAGATGAGAAGGTTCACGGATGTGGAACTGTTAAAATAAATACATCTCCTAGAATAGGGACGCACTATCTGATAATGTTTCCTGAGAGTGAGAGAGGATCCCTTCACTAGGGCAGTAAGGAATTTGCTAGACAGGAAGGAATTATTTGAGAAGCTCAGTGGTGATAATCCCTGTTAGCTACCATAGAAATAGACTCCCTAGTATCAGTGTGAATGAGTCTGGAATAGCAGAGACCAGGTGGTGCTGCATAACCAGAGGTAAGGTAGAGATAATTACCTTACTGGGTAAAAAAACAGTGGCAACCAAGATGCCTTGTCCAACAGAGATCTATGACAGTGGCTAATAGAACACGGTATTCCTAGTAGTAAAGTAGACAGGCAGCCAATTTGAATATTGTTTAACTTGTAAAATCAGAGAAAGTCAAGAGATGATGATTAGAAGTTTTTGTCAGCTATAACAGTGAAAAATCACAATCCCTTACTAGATCCTTCCAGACCTGAACCACTTCTCAAACCTACTGAGCTCATTGTTTTAAGCAGTCTGGGTCCTTCAAGAGAGGACTATGCAACGTCACTATAGATAGAGTGACTATTAACATGTCCACAATTCTTCCCAAGAGTGATTTATAACCAGGACTTATCTCTTAATGGAAAGTTCTGGATGCACGGTCACTTGGTGCCTGTGGTCTAGCATTTTTTGATACCAGGACCTACTAATGTGCAGAGACAATTCTCAAAGGGGTTTAATTCCCTACTGTGGTAGGCATAGCCTTATACCAGAATTGCAGGAACCAGATCATGATCCTCCCACTGGAGCTTGCCATGAGCTCCACCTGCACCTTCTCCCATCCCTGACATTTCCACCATCACAGGCCTGCCAGATCACATCACCCAGGCAACAGGACTGATTGATACACAGCCTGGACTTGCCAGTGCCATTTCTTCTTCAGACCCTACCCCACTCAAACCTCGTGGTCTTTGATGTTGTCTGGAATTTGGGCTAGAGCCATATGTCTCGGTGTGGAATGTGCTGCCTTCACATGCCAAGGAGACTTTGCCTCCTTCTTTTGAGCAATAGTTGCAAAATGGTTAGATTTTTCTTCTACTTTAGAGGAGAAATCCTAGCATGTTCTGCCCATGGAATTCCTCAAGCCTTCACTGATATGTCCGTTCCTTGAGTTTCCAAAGGGCTTATCTCTCATCCTCTGGAGCACAAAGCCTCCAGAGGGCTGGCCACCTCTTGCTCTTCCTGTCCATTGAGCATGAAGTGGTAAATGGAACATAGAGTGTGATGTTCTTGGGACATCCAGGCAGGGTAGATGTCTTTGGACTATATTGTGAGAGGCAGCTATCCCTGTAACTGAATAATTTTCATCCCATGTAGATGCGAATTTTTCTAGTTGGAATGGAAAAGACTGAATTCACCAAATCTATAGCTGCAGCATACGTTACAGGAGAAGCCTTATTCACCTGCTCAAGCAGCGATGCCACACCTAGCACAGCAGCTATGATCAGAGTTACCTCTTGGTTGAGTGTGCGGTAGTCTACGGTCATTCTCCAGGGGCTGTTCAACTTCTGCAGCAACCAGACTGATGAACTGAATGGAATTGTGAAAGGCACCACCACCATTGCATTTTTTTTTTTTTTTAGTTTTTTTTTTTGTCCACCATTGTTGGACAAAAGAAACGTTTTAGAACTCTGGGCAAATACTGCAAAATTGCATGCATTGCACAAGAATGTGGATTTCTTAATTTTCCTTCTCATTTGGGATGCTAAGATTAAAAATTAACATAATGCTGCCAGTTTCATAAACTTCCCCACCAACAAGAAGCACATCAGCATGTCTTTCATGATTAGCCCTCTCATTGTCTCTGCTTCTCTTATTGTGCTGAACTGTCATTACCCAAATCTGTGCCCTACTTTCCTCTGAAGACTTGTGCTGTGATTGTAAGAATTGTATAAATATCAATGGCTTTAGCCAAAGAGTTTTACAAAGTACGTTTTGGGCAGCATGCTACCTATAATAAGTTCTGTCATTCACAAAAGCTCTTTTTTCTATAGTTGGCTCTGAGTTTCTTTGGAAAATGTTCAAGGGGCAAAGGCAAGGTCAAACCCTCCTTTTAGCAAGTTTTGCTTGACCTTGAAGCAGCCATTTAACAGGTGGATTACAGAGCCACAGAAGGATGGCATCTTCCCAAGCACATTTCCTGCTGAGCCGAGGGTGCAGTGAAGGAGGCTGACAAAGATGAGTGAATAGATTCTTCTTCATTCTCACATTGAAATGACATGTGCGGGTGGGGCATGAGGTTAGGGATGGGTGAGCTCCCATTGTTAAATCCTTTTGTGGATGAATATTTAAGGATGTTAAGAAATGATGGCTGGAGGTGGTGGCTCATCCCTACAATCTCAGCACTTTGGGAGGCTGAAGTGGGAGCACTGTGAGACCCTAGGACTTCAAGATTAGCCTGGGCAACATAGTGAGACCCTGTCTCTACAAAAAAATTTAAAGAGGAAATGATTGTAGTGTACTACAAAACAACACATATAATATCATCCCAAGTTTATTTGCATAAAAGAGAGATAGGCTAAAATAAAAAAGAAACATTCTCTGATTAGTAGAGTTATGAGTGATATTTTAAATTTGATTGTTAAAATTGATTTTTAAACGATATAGGATATGGAAAAATTTTAGAAGGAAATACAAAAAATGCATAGCCCTTGCCTCAGGTAGTGGAATTAGGAGAGATATCTAGTTTTCCTTTATGCGTTTCCATATTTTTGTCCCTTCTGTTTCCATATTTTTGTCCCCTTTGAGCAAGGTCACCCTTGCTCAGCCCCTTCTTTTCTCTGCCAGGACTTTAATGCCTTAACACCCTAACACTCCCAGGCCAGGCAGGCAGCAAGACACATGGGGACAGTGAGATATAAAGCAGTGAGCGCCACAGATTCCTGAGACACAAGAGGCAGATTGTTCCCTCTCTGCGTATGTTTGTATTTAAATAGCCTCACATTCAGACACGCAACTTGGATTTGCTTCAGTCTTCTCAGGATGGGTGAGAAAAACACTGGAAATGCTCAAAAGAGGCAGAATAGAAGACACCTGTCAGGGTGGAGATGGTGTTCAGTGAATGAATGTGAGTCTGTTATCAGTGAATTACATCCAGTGTAACCGGATATAGAGAGATTGTCTTGTGAGAGAATGCACCAGTAGGAAAAGGGGTTTATGAGACTGAGTCAGTGTCCCTGCACTGGCAGTTATTTTAAATGAATTGACCCAGGGTCTCCACATTCATTCATTAAACATTTGTTCATTGAACAAATATCTGGCTCAAATTCCAGTTCCACGTCAACTAGCTATGCAGCCCAGAGCACGTCACTGAGCTTTCCTGTGACTCTGTTTCTCTACTGTGCTGACAACCCGAGGTTTCCTGCAGAGCTGGAGACCTTGGTAGCCTCCAGGTGTGTGTCTGGTAACATGAACTGAGCATGAATCCTTGTCTTCTCAGATGCTGGAGCGCCCACCTACATGTATGAGTTTCAGTATCGTCCAAGCTTCTCATCAGACATGAAACCCAAGACGGTGATAGGAGACCATGGGGACAAGCTCTTCTCCATCCTCGGGGCCCCATTTTTAAAAGGTAATGGCTCCTTGCTGTCCGTGAGCTTGGAGTTAGGAGACCTGGGTTCCAGTGTTGGTGTGGTGGGCTTCAGCACGTTTCTCCTCTCGTGGTCTTAGTTTCCTGATTCTCTATAACAGGGCTGAACGTCATTGGGTAGTCCCTGGGCTTCCTCCCGCTCTAACACATGTGGGGATGTGTCTTCATGTGCCCTCTGCACAGACACTTAGAATCCTGGGCTGTGTCATCAACAAGATAGGTGGTGGGACACATGCAGGGCTCTGCTTTAGGTTGGGAAGCCACCGATCAATTTCCCTCTCCCAGGAGTGCTGAGAATGTGAGTGAGGGTGAGGTTAGAATTGGTGTTAACTCTGAGTCAGGTCTAATGTGTGTCTGTTTGTCTTTCTGTCTTTCTCTAACAAAAACTCATAAACCTCTAAATTTAATATATTTAATATTTGTTAATTTAGAAATCACAGGATGCATGAATTTGGAATAGGAGAGGAGACTTTATTTTTGATATGCTTTATAGTCAGCAAGGTGGCCATCCTGCAGGCTGGGAAGGTGCCTCTGGCCAAGCCCAGACATAGGCTCATTGATCGAGGAGGGGTTGGGTAAGAGCTTTATGTGAATGGATTTGCTAAACACACAGTTCAACAGGTTACAGGGGGAGCAATGGATATTCATGAAGACAGTCCTGACACATGTGTATTAAACATGCATGTAACATGGCCCATGTTCACGTGGTGGTGGAGACCTAATATTTAAATATATTATAATTAGGGCCTATAAGTCCAAAGGTCTTCTCAGGACATAAAGCCCAGCAAGTGAGCAGCCTCTGTACACCGGCCAGGTCCAGTGCATGGTTGGTGATGTTTTTATCTGGAGAAAGTTACTGAAATCAGTCTCTTATGCAATCAAAGCCATAGTTAAGACCGGAGGGTCAGGGTTCTGTTTGTCTGCGTATCCCAGCTGCAGCCGTTGTAATTGTTTTCATTTTGCTTAAGTCCAAGCCAATGCTTGTTTAGCTGCCAGAGAAACAGAAGCACCTCGAGGCAGTGAGAACAGAGTGGATTCTTTAAGGGGAGAGATATAGGCCAGAACCCTTGCCCGACGTGGCCTTAGGTCTCGTTTTTAATTTGGTGTCTTATTGCCACAAAGAGTGTTCTGTCAGAATGATGACCTTTATTTTAATGCTGATGCTGGTCAGTGGTGTCTAAACCACAAAAGAGACGGAATATTATGAGGCGTGTCTGACCTCCTGTCTGTTCCCAGGCAGGAACACAGTTGAAGGATTTTCTGGGCTCCCCTTAGCCCAGAGAGGGTCTGTTCAGTCAGCTGGGGGTGTTAGGATTTTATTTTCAGTTTACATTATACAATATTTTAAAAGTCCTTTCACAATGTCTTCTAAACCTTAACTTTCAGCAGTTACAGATCACATGGGACTCACCCATGGCTGCTCAGAACACACCAGCGCCTCTGGGCATCTCACTGTACATGCTTAGGAGCCTTGCGGTTCTGTTGTATTTCAGAATGCGAATTGTGGGAGTGTGCCGGGGAAGCAGAAAAGACCCAAGAGAGGGCAACCCTGGGAGGTGGGGCTGCCAGAGGAAACCCTGGGGTGTGGCATTGCCTGTGACCCTGAGCAGGGAGGAGGCAGGCGAGGGTCACAGGAGACACAGGCATCCAGCACATGGAATGGCGCATGCCCATTGCTGAGCCCTCCGTTAGATATGCTCAAAGGTAAAGTACACACAGATTCACCAGGATCTTCTAAAATTGCAGACCTCAACTCAGTGGGTGTGGAGCATTCGCCAAGACTGTTTCTAGCAGGCTCGCACATTATGTTGATGCTGCAGGTCTGAGGACCACACTTTGAGTCACAAAAGCTTTTTTTCTTCTTCCCCACAGAGGGTGCCTCAGAAGAGGAGATCAGACTCAGCAAGATGATGATGAAATTCTGGGCCAACTTTGCTCGCAATGGGTGAGGCCTTTGGCAAAGACAAAGCAGGACTGATGAAAGTGGAAAGGGGACGGGGCATGCCTATTGGGAAGGGGCAGCTTCTAAGGTTCTAGTGGAATCAAACTCCTGACCCTGTGGCCATAGCACTCTGACAATGAGAGCTGTCTACAAATGGAGAGGCCACTCCCGGAGATAGTGAGCTCCCCATCTCTGGAGATATACAAGCCTCTTGACAAAGATAACTTGGGCATCCTCGTACATCGCAGAAAATTGTTGGGAACACACAGCAGCTGTGGGGCAATTCTATTTGATTCTGTTTCCAGATATCCCAATGGGGAAGGGCTGCCCCGCTGGCCAGAGTACAATCAGGAGGAAGGGTACCTGCAGACTGGTGCCAACACCCAGGAGGCCCAGAAGCTGAAGGACAAGGAAGTGGTTTTGTAGACCAAACATTTGAAAAGAAGGCAGTGGAGAAGCCACCCGATAGAACACATTGAGCTGTGAATGGAAGATCCAGCCAGCCTCGGGGGCCTGGAAGAGCAAAAACTGGGGTATCTTGTGAAAGGGATTGCAGGTTCAGAAGGCATCTTACCGTGGCTGGGGAATTGTCTGGTGGTGGGGGGCAGGGAACAGAGGCCATGAAGAAGGAAGTTTTTTATTTGTGACCTCAGCTTTGGGAATAAAGTATCTTTTGAAGGCCAAAATAATGCTTGTGTCTTGTACTGGAGATTAATCCATTGTCCACAGAGACAAAATGATGATGAAATAGGCAACGTGAGAAGGAAGGTGGCTCTGCTGGGGATGACCGGGCCTCAGGATGAGCAGAGCCCAGAGGACTGGGCCATGGATGGTGCTCAGGGGAACTCGGCCTGTTGCATATTTCTGGGCCCCCAACAATTTCCAACAATAGGAGTTGGGATGGCCAGAGTGTAGTATCCTCACCCTCTATTTGGAGCTGATTGTGGAAATGGAAGTGGCCCAGGCTGAGAATGTGCCTGGATCTGGGAAGAGGGAGACATGCTGAGGTGATCCTGTTGCACTGTTGCATGGCATTTACTGACCCTTGCTCAGGCCTACAACACCTTTCTGCGTATGTGCACTAGCCTCTCAAAAACCCCCATGAGGCTGTGTCTTCCAACAACTGGTCTAAACTCCTTCTGTAGCCTGGACCACTTCTGGTGCGGGCAGTGACCACTTTGGAGTAAGTCTCCAGAGGGTCATCCTAATACTGTGTCTTTCAGAATCCCACAGGTGATTTCTGGATTCCGTTAGTATGTAGAAAGCTCTAAAGCATGTCATTACCACCTTATCAGCAAGAGGAAGCTGGATTGTCCTCAAAATCATAACTTTTCCTGCACCAAGGAGCTGAAGTTGCAAGGCACATGGTTCCCTTGAAATGGAAGGGAAGACAAGCACTAAGGGGGAGCGGTGGGATGTGAACACTGGCTTACTTCTCACCTGCAGGCAGGAGACGGGGTGACCATCATGAGTGGAAATACTCTGTGAATTTTAATCAGTGCTGAAGGCCAAGTGTGGGCCACTGTGAGAGTATAAAATCTCTGGGAACCACGGACCCATGAGGAGGTTGACTCCCATCACAGACTCTACTCCATGGGTATCTATCAGGGCCCATGAGAAAGATTAGGGTAGATAGTAAGACTGGAGAAAATCTGCCTTCAGGAATGTAGGCATGAGCCCTGCTCACACCCTTCACCCCTGAAGAACAAAATCCTTCAACCATTGCAGAATGGCCAACAAATCTTGTCCTCCTCAAGGTACTCGTAGATACATACTGAGTTTGAAGATAAGAAATCTTTTAAAACTCTGTAGCCTTGGGAGAGGGACAGGGAGTCATCTTGGGCGCAGATTATTGGTCTTTTACTGCTGGGGATGGTCAATCTCTCTGACGAAGCTCCATTTCCAACAGGAAGAAACTAAGGTCCTACCTAAGGTTGAGGCTGGACCATGACAAAAGAAGTCATTCCTGGCTACTACCATGGAGTTAGCAAGTCCCAGGTAAAAGAAATGTACTACTAGGGGAGAGAGCAAAGCATGCAGAGCAACCCTCTGGTAAAAGCAGGTGAACAGAAAGGGCCTAAAGCTGAGAGTGGAACAAGACAGTAAGAAAATCCTTCGGAAAGCCAGCCCTTACACAAGCACACTAGAACCAGCACAAGGTAGCACTGGATGCATTCGAAGCAGATGGTGCATTCAAGATAGCCATAGCAACAACAAAACTATTCCTCCATCACCACACTCTAAATACTCACACACACACACACACACACACGTACACACATAAAATCAGTGTAGCAGCAGAAGAAAAGATATGTCCATTTTCTGTCACGGATACTACTTACTTCAGTTTCAACTCACTTACCCATGATGTCAAGTATTGAATTCAAAATCACAAACCTTATGAAGGAAGCAAAACCTATTAACAAGAGACAAAGCAGTTGGGCACAGTGGTGCATGCCTGTAGTCCCAGCTACTTAGGAGGCTGATGCAGGAGGATTGCTTGAACCTGTGAGTTCAAGGCTGTAGTGCACTGTAATTGCACCTATGAACAACCATCTGCACTCTAACCATGGTATTATGGTGAAATAGCATCTCTTAGAGTGAGAGGGAGAGAGAGACAGACAAACAAAGCAATCAACAGAACCAGATTCAGAGATAACCTAGGTGTCAGACTCACAGACTGGGATTTTAAAAAAACTATATGCAATACTTCCATGAACATATGGGTAGTTTCAGCAGAGAGGTAGAAACTATGAGAAAGAAACAAATGGAAATGTTAGAAATGAAAAAAAATAGTAACAGAAATTAGAAATGCCTCTAATGGATTCACCAGTAGATCTGACACAGCTGAGGAATGAATGAGTGTAGCTGAAGACAGGCCAATATAAATTACCCAACTTAATATGAGGAAAATCCATGAAAAAAACCCCAGAGAATCAAAGAACTGTGAGATAATATCTAATGGTCCAACATATGCATAACTGGAATCCCAGAAAGAGAAGACAGGGTAGGTAGAAGAAAATATTTGAAAATATAATGGCTGAGAATTTTCCAAAACTAACGAAAAACATCAAGGCATAGGTCCAAGAGCTTGGAAAACCCCAGACAGGATTCAACAACAACGACAACAACAACAGCGACAACAACATACACATTTAGACACACACTGAGAAAATATTGAAGGCAGCCAGAGGGGAAAGACATTGCATACAACGAAAGGGTTTAGAGCAGACTTCTCTTTGGAAAAAATGCAAGCCAAAAGATAATGGAGTGACACCTTTAATGTAGCCAAAGGAAAAAATCTTTCAGAATTCTACATCCAGCAAAAACACTGATGAAAAAATAAAGGGAAAAATGTTTTCAGATGAACAATAGAGAGAATTTATAATTACATACTTGTGCTACCAAAAATATAAAAGGAAATTCTTTATGCAGAAGCTATATAATACAGGACAAAAACTTGGATATTTATCAAAGAAGTGAAGCTCTACATAGAACTTCGAAATAAAGGTAATGTAAGCTATTTTCCCTTATATTTAATTACTGTTTAAAACAAAAATAGCACCAATGAACCGTGGATTTTGATCATATGTAAGAATAAAATATGCGATAAAAATAATAGGAAAGACGAGAGACAGGTATTTGAAGTACACTTTCATAAGATTCTTACACTTTGTGTAATTGGTCTTATCTGAAGGTATAAGGTGATTAACCAAATATGTATATTGTATACCCAGGAAAACCAAT